CCTGTAGACCCTGTACTAAATACTTTTTTTTTTTTTTTTTAATCCTTGCCTCCAGTTTTGGATGTCAAGTATTTTGTCTCAGCAAAGGAGAAAAGTAACTAAGAAAAGGGGCAACACTTAGCTAACGTGGGGGCGGAAAAGGTGAAGTCGCACTGATCCAGTAGTAGGTACACAGTCTGGGACCTGCTGAGAGTGATGCTCATTCTCCAGAGCACTGGCTGGCAGCAAGGCGGGGCTCATCCCTAGTGGCAGAGGAAGAAACTGAGGCTGGCAAGCAAGGAGCTGGCGCTGGGCTCAGGCCTGTCCGGCTGCTCTCTGGGTGGCTGGCACCCTCTGAGCTCCTCCGCACAGAAGCAGCCGTTTGAGCACCAACTTCGTGTCACACTCGGTACCAGGGATTCAGCCCCAGGTGTCTCCACTTCACAGCTAAATACACTATGGCTGGAAGTCCCCACCTGAGGTTGCACCCGGCCACGTGCCTGAATCAGACTCTGCTCAGGTCTCTACCCCTGGCCCTTTGCAATACAGGCTGCCGTAGGAGGGCTTGAGGTGATTTCAGAGCTGAGGGGTAGCATGGGAAGCTTTGTTCTTTTGTCCCTGTCCCAGGGGCCCGAGGAAGCTCCTACCCTTGAGGGGTTAGCACTTGCTGGTGCCACAGGCTGATCCTGAGCTCTAACAGCCACTGCCATCAGCAGAGTGGCTAAGCCAGCAGCTCATGCCACACAAGCCTTCACTGCCTCACTTTCCTTCTGCTTCTAACAATACTGTGGGCTCAGGCTGGTGGGGGGGGGTAATTAATCCTCTGCGTAGAGGAGCAGCTCAGCAGAGAGCACTTGATAAGGAAGGAAACCTGCAGGGTGGGCTGTTTCTTTTGTGGAAAGCATGGGGAGATCCAAAATAAACACTTCTGCCCCTATGGGTACCTCGTGAGTTCTGGGATCACAGCGTGCACCACCACACTTGCCTCATCTTCTAGAGAATTCTTGGATGCTGAGTGAGGGAGAGGCCCCTTCCTCAGCCCTGCCACTTCCTGCACTGTCAGCTTGGGCAGGTCTCTGAGCCCCCATGCCTTCTGTGTGACAGGGGTGCTGAGACCCTGGGACCCTGGACGTGGTTCCAGGGTCCTTGGGCAGTCAGCACCAGGGTTAGGTCAGCCCCACAAGGCACATAAGGGCAGGGGTAGGCCTTGGGCCCCGCTTCCTCACAAGGGTACTTACTCACTGATGGTCAAGCCAGTGGGTCAGGGGCTGTGGCTGCTGCTGACAGGAGGATGAGTGTGTCAGACCCAGAACAGAGTCAGTCCATCTGTCCCTCTGGTTCTTAGGGATCTGCAAGTGGGGATGGCTGGTGGTGCGCTTCTGGGAGCCTCGAAGTGTCCAGGGGCTAGAGGGAGGGTGGTTGTGACTGCCTGCCGAAGCCCCTGGCCCTGTCCTGCTGCGCCTATGTTTTCCTGGCAGTGCTTTCCCTCCATATGGCAGTTGCTGGAGGTTGGTATCTGCGCCTGGAAGACCTGGGACTGCTTCCTCCGCGTTAGGGGGGAGCAAGCAGAGGGGTAATTATAGACAGCCCTTGCCGCCAGGCTGGCCCAAACCGGTTCCCTCATTCCCAGTGTGGCTCAGAGATGTGGGCTGGAAGAGTGCAGCAGAGGCAGCTTGGAGGAGGTCAGCGGGGGCAGGACTGTCAGCTGTCACTCACTGCCACCCAGGCCCTTCAGCGGGAGGTCCAGCAAGCTTCCCTGGATCTTGTGCAGGCGGCAGAGGGAGAATTCCTGGTCTCTGCTCAAAAGCCTGGTAGGCTTTGCCAGGCCACTCTCAGAGGGGAAGCGTGAGCCTGGCTGAGCCATGCAGAGAGACACCTTAGTAGGAGAGTGGAGCCAGGATGTCTTCCTTCTGGTCACTTTCCTGTTGAGTTAAAATGGGCCCTAAATCCTCAGCCTGGCCTCCTGCATGCTGTGTTCCCTGCCTGCTCCTCTGCACCACAGCCATCATGGCCACTTCCCTTCTTTGAACCTGCCATATGTATTCCTGTCTTAGGGCCTTTGCCCGTGTTCTGCACTGCCCGGCAGGCTCTTCCCTCTTTCCCTGGGCGGCTCCTTTGTCACTGAGGACTAAGGGTCAAGGGCTGCCCTCCCTGTCTCCTGCTGCGCAGACCCCGTGAGTTGGCTTGTTGATCCATTTTATTGAGGGGAGTGCTGTTCCCCTTTGCTTACTGCTCTACTCCAGTGCCTGCTGTGTAACAAATGCTCAGATGTGCATTCCCCAGGATTGGCCAGTTAAGCCTCTGCAAGTCACTTTTCCCTTTGGCGACTTCCCTTCATCTCTAGCAGAAGATGATGGCACCCCAGAGATACCCTCTGGCCCACTTGCCTTTGGCAGCAGCGGCCAGGCCCAGAGAATTCAGGGGGAAAGGGAAGGCAGGCCTGGCGCCTGAGCAGGTATTCATCCCTGGCTTTTCCACTCTGCAATTAGAACCATCAATGCAGCTGAGGCTGGGATCAGAGTGTTTCAGCCTAGGTAGCTGACAAGCTTTATGTCCTCTTTCCCTTTGAGCCCAGACAAACGTGGCAGCTGACGCTGCTCTCTGCTGCTCTCAGGCTTTGGGCCTCAGAGTTTCAGCTCTGCTGGGAGCCTGAGCTCTTTCAGAGGCCGCCTGGAGCTGCATAGGACAAAGAAGGGAAGAATAGGCTGTCACAGTAGGGTGACCGGGCCCATGATGAAAATCTGAACACATCTCTTTAAGAGAACATTTTGGGAGCTGCATAGAGCCTGGCCCAGCATTTGCAGTTCCATCCCTGGCATCTCAGACAAAAGAGTATTCTGGAGGGAGAAGGCCTCCTGAGGTGTTTTGAATTCTCTTCACAAGAATTCTCCTCTGCCAGAAGCTTAGGAACATTCCTCACCTCTGCGCAGCCAGGGGGAGGCCCTGAAGAAGCCTGTTGGCCACCTAGAGAGAGCTAGTGGGTGAGCGTGGAGGAGCAGATGGCTCAGTGCCACCTCCTGGGGATGGCAGAGGGCAGAAACCATCTGAGGATGAACCTCATCTAGCATGAACCTTATCTAGCTGATGAGCTTTGGATTCAGGGACTGGTATTCTAGCCCCTGTCCGCCAGCCTGTCCCAGCCCCATTTTGTCCTTCCCGGATTTGCTTAGTCATCTGAATCGCCTGGGTCCCCAAAGTCCCAGCTATTTGGGAGGTGGAGACAGGAGGATTATTAATTCAAGTCACAACTTAGTAAGATCCTGTCTGACAGTAAAAATTAGAGGGGGACCGGGGATATTAGGGAGTACTCCCTGATAAATAGGCAGCGGGGGCAATGCCAGGCCTGCCCAGACCTACTGAGCACTGTCTCCAGGAATGGGCTGTACCCACAGTGCAGTGTGGACGATATAGCTATGGTTGGTGTGGGCAGGCAGCCAGGGGCAGTACGTTGGCCAGCTGACATGAATAAGGGGTGAGGCAGTACATAGCTTTTGGTTGGGGAAGCACCCCCTTTTTCCCCTTTTATCTTTTTGTTGTTGTTTTTGGAGACAGGGTCTCACTGTGTAGTTCAGGCTGACCTTGAGTTCACTATGTAGCTCAGGCTGGTATAGAACTCATGAAGGGCCTCCTGCCTCAGCCTCCTGAGTGCTAGGATCACGGGCGTGCACCACCACACCCAGCTCCATTTTCCCTTTTAAAAGAAATAACACAGCTGTTATGTGATTGTGGGAAGAAATTGGTGGGGCTCCTGAGTGTGAATTTTACTCTTACTCTTTTGGTTATGTGAGTTATAGGAGATGGAAGAGTTATGAAGACCAGAGACTTAGTAGCCTGGCCCTGGATGAATTTGGGGTGGAATGGATGGAGGACATAGGAGGGACGTTGGGGTTGAGTTACTGGTGAAAGCTTCCAGGTCAGGAAGAGGAGTATATGTGTGCTGCTTGGAGGTTGAGCTGCACAAAGAGAGTTCCTTTTATTTCTCAAGAGCACGTGTCCATGTGGCTGGAGGTGTAGCTCAGTGAGTGGTAGAGCATTTTCGTACCATGCACAAGGCTCTGGGTTCCATCCACAGCACCACAAAGATTTTTAAAAATAATAATACCCTTATATTTCTCTCAGAGCACTACTGCACAGGTTTTTGAGGTTGCTTTGCTGTGCCGACCATCCTTGTAACTTTTCTGGTTCACTTCATAGGATAAATTACTAGAAATGTAACTCGTTGTGGAACTACATGGTCAAAAATAAAGATTAATATTAAAACATCTTTTTCCTTGAGTAGATAAAGTGTGCAGATGGCAAAAACAATTAGCGCCGCGAAGGCAAGCCGTGAATAAGGCTGCCTCCCACACCTGGCCCAGCACTGCACACTTCACCTTGGAGAAGAAGGCTGTCACTAGCTTTTTGTGTTTGTCTAGAAACATTCTGTTTATATAAACATGTATGTTACTATTCTTTTCACCCTCTGTTTTCCTTTTTTTTTTCTTTTTGGCACACAAATGAGAGCCTTTCACATTGACATCTTACACTCTATGTCTGCGTGTAGCCAGGCTGTGCTGCTGGGTTCTGAATGGGTAAAGGGCGGCAAGGCCTTGGAGGGACAGCGGCCTTTACAAGGCACTGGGGAAGCAGCAAGGTGTCAGCATCTGGGCAAGTCCCCAGAACGCTCTGCAGGCTCTGGGCTGAGGCGCTGGCAGAGTGCCTGGCATCCACTGCTCACCTTGCTGCCCAGGCAGGTTGTGCAAGAGGCTGTCAGGCTGCATGTGGCGGTCAGGAAGCCCCCACTGAAAGTGAGTGGTCACCCCAGTATGCCGTCAGGGAGGGCACCACAGCCATGCTTCCTGTGCAGATCATGCCTTCTGAGGAAAGCCAGGCGAGGTGGCTTCATAGGCTGGCTATGTGGGGAGGTGGGAGGGATAGGAAGGGAGGACACAACTTCACTGTCACCAGGGCAGAATGTGTGCTCTTTCTGATACCAGACTAAATAGTGTCCTTATCTATTTTCTTTTTTTATTTTTCCTCAGAGGCTCATCCAAAATAGAAGAAGCATGCGAAATGTACTCCAGAGCAGCGAACATGTTCAAGATGGCCAAAAACTGGAGTGGTAGGTGCTGTCTGCTGCAGCGCTCTGTCCCCTCCCCGTCAGCTTCCCATCCACAGGCCTGGCCGAGGGCAAGCCCTGCAGGCCCCACCGCCCACGTCCAGTGGGGCACCTGGGGCCTTTGGTCCAGATGGAGGGGTGGAGATCAGGGAAGGATAGAAAGGGCAGGATAGAAGGATAGAAAGGAAAGGCTATCAGGACGTTGAGTCCTGGTAGACCCATGTGATGAGCTCTTTGAGAGATTTCTCTCTAAATTGGTAATTTGGCATTTCCTGGAAATGATTCCATCTTGCTTCCATCAGAGTGCAAATTCTGGGCCAGGGGAACATGCAAGAGCTTCTATTAATGACAGCCGTCGTTCATGGGATATTCTACTAAGTATACATCGTACATAATTTTTTTATTTTATTTTATTTATTTGTGTGTGTAGCCAGCTCAGCCCACCAGGGGGCGGGGCTGGCTGGCATGTGGTGCTGGGGGATTGAACTGAGGTCCCTGTGCTTTGCTAAGCTTGTTCTAAGTAGGTGCTTTAGACCACTGAGCCATCTCACCAGCCCCATCGTACATAATTTAATTGACTCATCCCAGCTGCCCTGGGATAACATTAATGGGGCAAGAGAATCACCATGAGTTTGCAGCCAGCCTGCCCAACATAGTAAGACTCTGCTTTAAAAACAAAAGAAAAAAAACAGACTAAGAAGCTGAGGTGTGGCTCAGCACCTTGCTCAGGCTGCTGAGACCAGTAGGCAGCACAACCATGATCCAGGCCTAGTCAGAATCTGCTCTCAGTGCCCAGGCACTTTGCCCAGTGAGGCAGCAGCCTCCTCAGGCTGCAAGTGAGGGCCTGCCTGGGGGAGCCCGTGGCCTGAGGGGAGCAGTTGGGTTCCAGCACACTGAGTCCAGTTGGTGCTGACTCCACAGTGTGGCTTTCCAGTGTCAGCAAGATCGGATTAAGGAAAATGGAGCAGGAGACAGTTTGGGAACCTGGGAGAGCTTTGTGGACATAGGAGAGGAACGTGGGGAGGGGCCTTGGAGGTGGGATGCAGAGGTGCAGGTAGGCCTCGGCCATCACCATGAGAACCCCATCAGCCAGTTTCCTGAAAATTAGAAGAACTTTCCTTGACATTCAACAAAATGCATTGTGCGTATGGCCAACCGCTGTGTATATTTTTATGCTCCCAAGCTGATAAAGGGCCTGCAGAGAAAGCATGCCTATTTTTCAACCACATACATGTTGCTTTTCCCCTAAAATATGTTACCATTCTCCATTCAACAATTCCAACAGAGGGCCAGCCAAATAGCTCAGCAGATTAAAGTGCCTGCAAGCAGGTGCAGGGGTCAGGGGTTCAATCCCCAGCCCTGCCATGCTGGTCCTGCCCCAGGGCTTGCTGAGACAGCGATTGAGACTGGGCATGATGGTGCGCACCTGTAATCCCAGCTCTTGGGAGGCTGTAAGCAGGCGGATCACTATGAGTCCAATCTAGTAGTGAGACCCTGAGCACCCTGTAGACCCTTCCCTGAAATACCAAAAAAAAAAAAAAAAAGTCCAGCAGAAGTCTTAGGCTACTTTCTTCCTTTTAGCATCCCTGCTTTTTGAAATTTAGGGCTCAGGGTTGGAGCTCTCAATGAGATCACAGTGGAGGCCCAGAGAGGGGAAGCCCTGATGCCTCCCAAAGCTGGTTTAGGAGACATCTGGACAGAATGGCTTGGGACCCACAGAAAGTGACTGTGCGGGTGAGCTCAGGGCAGGTAGGCACTTTTGTGCATATATAGGAGTTTAGCGGCTCACAGGCTATTTCCCCTTCTGGATTGGGGCCCCGGCTCCCCAGCATGCCTCACAGTTTTCGAAGTGCTCTGCCCTCCATGGCAGTGGACCAGAGCTTGAGAACTTGTCAGGAAGAGCATTGGGGACCTGTGGGAGAGAGAAACAGGACTGGGCAAGGGAAGCAAGGGGCATCCTTAATCCCAAATGCCCTTCCTCCTGGGCCACCCCCACTGAGTCTGTCCCTGTCACCACTTTGCCTTGGGTGCCCAGGACTGCCAAGCAGGTGGGTGCTGGAGCCTCCTCACCTTGGTTTCATGTCCTTGGCAGCTCCTGGCTCTGCCTTCCTGTCCCAGGACCTTAACAAATGGTGGCACTAGAAATATTGGCAAAGCCAGGATGAAGGATATAGGCTCACACTGGGATTCCACCAGGCTTGTTTACATGGACTGGTCTTGACCTCTCTCTGGGCCTCCTTCCATGTGCTTGAGAGCCCAAGCTCCTCCTGGGCAGTGTCTGTATGCAGCCCCTGAAGCTGGGCTGCTCTTCTCTTCCAGCTGCTGGGAACGCATTCTGCCAGGCTGCCCAACTACACCTGCAGCTCCAGAGCAAGCACGACGCAGCCACCTGCTTCGTGGATGCTGGGAATGCCTTCAAGAAAGCTGATCCCCAAGGTGAGTTTCCCCGGGGCCACACACTGACCACCAGCACAACTGAGCATACTCAGAGTCCTCAGGTGTCCATGTGAGTCTGGGTTCTTCCAGTGGCCAACGTGGGACAGACTGGAGGCACAGAGAGCCCAAACTTCAGAGCTGGCTCCCCTTCTGCAACTGGCGCTGTCCTGTCCTCCCCCCACCCCAGCCTGTCACTTCCCTCCCCTCTCCTCTTGCAGCATTTGGGAGTGGGAGTTACTTTTCAGACCCTCCGCCTGCCAGGGAGCGAGGCAAAGCTGTTCTGTTGTCAGAATTAACATGCAGAAGGGAGCGGGGGCGTTCAAAGACCAGCCAGGTAGGAGTCACTGCCGAAAAAGGAGCGGAAATTATCCTAACCTGGCTTCCCTACACCCTGGAGAGAAATCAGTGAGAACAGAGCCTCCGATCCACTTGCCAGAGAACAAGTTCCTTAAATGAGAGCATGCAGGGACAGAAGCTCCGGCTAGAAGACAGCCCCTCCAGTGGGCTCGTCCTGAAAAACCCAGCCCTCGGCCACCAGACATGGGGATTTTATGGGCTGGGAACTTTGATTGATTGATGACTGATTGACTTTGGTGTGATGCTGGGGATGGAATCCAGGCCCTTTATATGCTGAGCATGTGCTCTGCCACTAAGCTATATCCCTAAGCTTGGGAATTTTGTTTTTTTAAATCTTAGTGCCAGACATAGGTTCTAACTTTTAATTTTAGCAAACAAATACATGTTCCACATGACCATCTTGTGCCATTATCCTCTTGAGAGTGGAAAACAGAAGGTATTCTTTTTTTTTTTTTTAAGTATTCTTTTTAAAGGAGGTATTTGTCTTGGCATAAAGGCCAGTCCCTGCCATTTGTCAGCAGAGCTCAGGTTTCTCTGCAGCCTCCAGAGCACTGTCTTACGTGGTCAGGTCTCCACTGTATCCTCCTTAGCTGGCATCCTATAGATAGAGCCTGAGTAGTCATGTGCTAGGACTTGGGCCAGAGGATTCCAGAGGGGACAGCCCTGTGATGGGCCGGTGACTTGATGACCCAGGGCAACCCTGGATTTGTTTTTGGCTGGAGTCACCCTAGGAGTCTCATGTCCTGTGCAGAGCCCTCCCCCAGCCTTCCCTTCTGCTCCCTGGGGAACTGGTTGGCCTGGTGATGCTGCCTAGCATCTGTGACGCTCAGCTGCTGCCCCATCCGGAGTGACTGGAAAGACTTGTTTCTGGGGTGACAGCTGCCAGGCTGCCTGGCATGTGTGTGCCGTGCGTGTGCTCTTCCTGCAGATAGGCCTGGTGTGATGTGGTTGCACCAGCCCCTCCCCTTGACCCGAGAGTGCAGGATGGGCCTGGCTCAGGCATGGCTCATGGCTTTAGAAGCATAACATGGCAGGGAGTATGACTGGGAAAGCTCAGAGCCATGGGAGGGCACTGAGGTCAATTTGGTCACTGAGAACTTGGCTGGGGCCTCTCTGGAAGGGGGAGGACACAGCTGTGAGAAAAGAGCAGGGTGCGTCTAGCCCTTGGACTCCAGGTGCCCTGCCTGGTCAAAGTGAGTCAGGGTGTGAGCACATTTGCTTGGAAGTGACAGCGGCTTTGTATCTGGAGCCAGTCGGGGCGCACAGGGAAGGGCACAGCAGCTGTATGATGTCCATGAGCAGCCACTTCCTTTCTTGAAGTGACTTTGTTCTATCCTGTGTTAAAGCACAGGCCTACCACGAGCCAGTGCGCATCATGCTCAGCGTGGCATCGGGCCCCTCTGTGCTGAGGGTCTAGTGAGGCCTAGTGCCTTATGAAATGGAGCTGGGGGCCTATACGGAGCTCTATAGGTATGGGCCTGAGTAGTCATGTGCTAGGACTTGGGCCAGATGATTCCCCCTGGCTGAGGTCCTCCTTGCTGGTCCCCCCACACACACCTGGATAGCCACATGTCCTCTGGGGTCTCTAGCTCTTTCTTGTGGATCAGGTCTCCACCCACCGGTACACTAGCTGTCCACAGAGGGAGCTGCTGGCCTGTGGTGGCCTGTGACACCCATCCTGCCAGTGCTTCTTCAGTGTCCTCACCGTTGCCAGCTGATCAGGCCAGGAGGCCCCTTCCCTGGACAGCCTGGTTGTTAGGGCCTGGCACACAGATGTGCATGTGTACCTGGGCAAGAATGGTTCTGGCTCACATGTGCTGTCAGCTGCGGGGTGCCCACTGTATCCAGACTCCTGTGTCTTTTTTTTTTTTTTTTTTGCAGAACCGGGGATTGAACTCAGGCCCTTGCGCTTGCCAGGGAAGCACTTATTCCACTGAGCCATCTCCCCGGCACTCCTGTGTCTTTTAACATGCCCCACTTCCTGGCTCGGTTCTGTGACTTGTCCCTATTTCGTTGAGGAATATGAATGGGCTGAGTCCTGGGTGTGACTGCAGCTGGGCACGGGTGCATCTGGGTGCATGCTGGGGGCAGCGGGTGACAGGCTCAGGCTGGAGAGCTCTCAGCAGGCCGACTGAGGAGGGTGGACACGGCCCACAGATGCTCCAAGTCTGGCGACCTGAGATCAGCCAGAGGAGTGAGTGTCAGAAGCTCATCCAGGAGCTGGCTGGGGGTCAGCTGGCCACCTGCCACTTTCCAGGACAGCTGTTCCCAGAGCGAGGAACTGGCACAAAGGAGCCTTCCCCCGCTGCCGCTGCAGGGGTCACGCCTCACTGATAGCGCCCTTGCAGGCAGTCTGGGCACAGCTGCTACTCTTCCTGGGGTGCAGCCTTTGCCACCTTGGCCCACACAGGACCAGTTCCAGGAGCCTGTGAGTGGCTGGGCCCCAGCGGGGCTGCTGCTGCCTCCTCCTCCCCCATCCTTCACTTCCAGACCTGCTCAGACCTGCTTGGTTATAGACCTTGTATGCAGAACACCATTGTTCTCGACTCCCATTTTGTTGATATGCCCCTCCATTTGCACCACCTCTGCCTGCTTTAACCATGCCCCCCCTTTGAGGGAGGGTCTCGTTATGCCACTCAGGCTGGCCTCAGACTCAGTGATCCTCCTGCCTCAGCCTCCCAAGTGCTGCAATTACAGCTGTGCATCACCATGCCTAGCACCCCTTCTTTTCCTTCTACTGCCTCAGGCTCCCAGGTAAAAGCCTAGAGCCGTAATGCATGGTGCAAATTGCTGGTGTCTTTGGACACCCACAGGCTTTTCAGAATCCAGTGAAATTGGCAGACTCCCAGAGCATCACCCAGACCCCACTTTATACATGTACATCTGGGGACTCCCAAAGTCCCAGCTGTGGACCTAGCTCAGAGCCTTTGTTCACGTGACTTCCTGAGAGTGAGCTTGCTGCTGTTGGTATTCGACCAGGAGGCCCTGAGAGCGGGGTGCAAGGCGCTTGCTTCCTGGTTCCAGTGCTCTCCTCCGGGCGTCCAGGAGCTGGGAGAGCCCTGGGGCCTACCCAGGCCCTCTGCCCTCTGTCCTGCTCACCCTCCCTCCCCAGCAGCCTTCTTCAGATGCATTAAAATGGTATTTAAAAAAAAAAAAAAAAACACCGAGAGCTCATTTCTATCTGCTAGAAATTGCCACCCACTCATGCTTTTCTCTTCTCCAAATAACTTGTCAAAAAAAAGCCTTTCCCAAATTTAAAGTCTTGCAAGAGATAGTACAACAAAGGTAGCCAGCTCCTCCTCTCAGTGCCATCGTGGGGTACTTTTTGGTGAACCCTGTAATTTGAAGAGTTGGTGGCAGGGGCAGAGTGGGGAGTGCTGAGAGCAGAGGGCTGTGCCCATCACCTGTGGATGGGAGCAGAGGGCAGGGCAGAATGTGCATTCTGCCCAGGCTGGAGGTCCAGGGCACTGGTGCAGGGTGGAATCTGCTCAAGAGACCTGCAGTGATTGTGGCTGAGTCCAGGAGATCCCGAGGTCCCTGACACCCCCAGGATAGCCTCACCCTGACCCTTGCCAAGTGGCCCAGAATGCCTGTGGGAGCCCGTCAGTGCTGGCTGTGCCATATTCTATAGCTCCCTAGAAGCTGGTGGCCTGGTGGCAGCTCCTCGTGAAAAAGTTACTAGCAGATCCCATGTACAGACTGAAAAAATCAGCCTGGCAAGGTTTCTTGGGCTCAGGGCTCCTCCAACTTCTCCCAGCCCTCAAAGCGAAGGCATGGGCCTGGCTGCCCTGGGCACTTGCCACTCTCCCTGTCCCCCCTGCATCTCCTGCCGCCTCCACTCTCGTTCCTCCTCCCTGCTTCCTCTTTTGTCTTCCCAGAGGCCATCAACTGTTTGATGAGAGCCATCGAGATCTACACAGACATGGTAAGGCTTCTGTCCCATTAGCATCCCTTCCTTTGCACCCCCAGCAGGGTTCTTGTTCTGCTGCAGAGCAGGTGGGGCAGTGGGAGCCCAGGAGAGCTTGGCCACCTAACCTGGGCTGATGGCCTCTCCTTCCTGCCCTGCTCCATCCTCCTGGGCCATCCTGCTTTCTTTTGTAGGAGTTACAGTTCCTGGTGTGTGTCTGTGTGTCTGTGATCTGAGTAGCAGTTCTCAGCAGTGCAGACGGAAAGGTTGCTCTGCTGTAGGTCAGATGGGAAGTTCCTGTGTAGGGCCACCTCTGTCAGCCCTGTCCTTACCAGGAGCACAGGCCCCTGCCCTTTCTGTGTCCAGAGCAAGCAGTGCTGCACTAATGGACCTAACAGCAGTAGCAGGGTCACTGAGTGAAATGCTGCAGGTGGTTGGCTTCCTGCTCTGTGGTAGTCAGCTCTTGTGAGCCCTGTGGGATGGCTGAGTGGGGGAACTGCAGGGGCATGGCTTACCCAGGGACATAGGTCTGCAAGCAGGATTGCTGAGATCCAGAATTAGGCTGGCTGGACACAAGGCCTTGCCCTTCCACTGCCCCTGGCAAGGGGTGGGCACCAAGGGCAGAGGCAAGCAGGCGATTCCAGGTGTATCAGACCCTGAGGACCCCTTGGAGCAAGCACATGGTGTGGGGAGGGGAGGCTTTTGAGACCGCACTGTGAGGACTCCGAAGCCCGAAGCCCTGGTTTAACAAAGCCTTTTACCCAGTGACCCTGGGCGAGGCTTCATCCCAGCCCCTCCACACACATCATGTATCTCTGCCTTATGGACAGGGTGGAAACAGGCCAACACACTAGGGTGCTGGCTGAGGTGGCCTACATAGTATCCACCCTGATGCCAGTCACCATGCCCGCTCTGCAGACCTCATCTGTGGCGAGGCAGAGCAGGGGGAACCATGGGGGTCAGGGGGAATCACAGTCCTGCCCTCTGTCCCCAGGGCCGGTTCACAATCGCAGCAAAGCACCACATCTCCATTGCCGAGATCTATGAGACAGAGCTGGTGGACATTGAGAAGGTGAGCAGGCAATGGCTGGGACCAGGTCCGCTGCCTGGCTGCCCACCCAGCTGTCTCCAGGTGCTGGCAGAACCTGGGCCCAGCTGTGTCCCATGTGGGGCATTGGGTGAAGGAGGCCGCATGGCATCCAGCCCACACCTGCTCATGTCTCCCCAGGCCATCGCCCACTATGAGCAGTCTGCAGACTACTACAAAGGCGAGGAGTCCAACAGGTAGCCCCAGCCCCGTGCCTACCCCACTGTGACACAGGACTCCCTGCCACCTCTCATCACACCCCCTCTCTCCCACAGCTCAGCCAACAAGTGTCTGCTGAAGGTGGCCGGCTATGCCGCACAGCTGGAGCAGTACCAGAAGGCCATTGACATCTATGAGCAGGTGGACAGGGGCCCTGTCCCTCGAGCAGCAGCACCTTGCCCTCCTGTCTGCCATCCTTTTTGGCCCCATCCTTGCTCCCAATGTGTGGGCCTCACCTGGTGCTCTCCTGGCCAGCAGCTTCCACCGCTCACCCTGTGTGCTGTCCCTCCCCGCCCTCTCCTGGGGCCATCCTGAGGCCCCAGAACAAGGCAGCCTAGCAGAACCCATGGGGAAGGGCCCCGGGGGTGGCAGAACAGGGTCTGTCATCAGTGGGAGGCAAGGAGCGTCACATGGGCTCCCCTCTGCTGGGTAGGAAGGGTAGCGCTGTGGCCACGAGAAAGGCAGCAGCTGGCCTCGAGGGAGAGGGGCGGGTGCCGCCTCTCATGTTCTCTTAGTTGCCACCCCCCTGCCCACTGCATGTCAGCCTCCCGCAGGGCCTGACAGCAAGGTGCCACCTCTCCACCTTCTCTGGTACCTCAAGAGGCTATGGACACCTGGCTCCAGGCCTCCTGCCTGGGCTGGTCTCTGGCTCACTTCCCCGGGGTCTCAGCCTAATCCTAGGGTACAAAACCACCTGTCCTGAGCTCATAGTGCTACCCTACATGGCCACAGGTGGGGACCACCGCCATGGACAGCCCCCTGCTGAAATACAGCGCCAAGGACTACTTCTTTAAGGCAGCACTCTGCCACTTCTGCATCGACTCACTCAATGCCAAGGTGAGCCCAGGCTGGTGTTCCCCTCCCGCCACCAGGTTGCTTCTCACAGCCAAAAAAGCCTGCTCCTCCCTCCATGAGGCCCAGTCCGCTGGCCTCAGCACCAGAAGTCCCAGCTCTCTCTCTGGGATTCCACCCTGGTGTTCCCCGTCAGGCCCTGGAGGCTTCTGAGCTCCCAACTCCCTGCTGACTCTATGCCAGTCCCTTTTCCTTTTGTAGTTTTTAATCTGTTAGCCTGTGAAGGCAGCACCAGCGTCAGCGTATCTTGCAGGCAGATTTGCTGAGGCTGAGTTCCTTGCTGAGGCTGCTTGGCTGGTGAACTGCAGCTCAGCATCCCAGACGCTGTGATTCTGGAGCAGGGCTGTGACTGACCGAGGTTGAGGCCATTGCCATGCTCAGGACTTGGTGAGGGAGCTTCACCTCTCTGGTGTTCCCTGCCCAGACAGCAGGGGCTCTGCAGGCCCAGGGCTCCTTTGTGTCTGCCCCCATTCCTCTCTGGGCCCCAGCCCTCAGTTTGGCACACAGATAGGCCCCTTTGTCTGCTGCCCTGGCACAGAAGGGCACAGAGGTGCTGGGCACTTGCCCAGGAAACCCTCTCCCTCCCTGCAGCCAGCCTGTAGCCAGCCTGGTGCTGAGCTCAGCCCCGGGGAAGTGCTACCAGGGACAGCGCCAGGCAACAGCAGCGGGGGAGGAGGGCAGAGTGCTGACTCAGGGCTGCCAGCCCTCCCTTGTCCCTGATGAGCCCAACCAAAGCCTCCAGTGGCCCCTTCACTAGTTTGTCCTCTCCTTCCCTCCCTGCTGCCCAGCTTGCTGTTCAGAAGTACGAGGAGCTGTTCCCAGCCTTCTCTGATTCCCGGGAATGCAAGCTGGTGAAAGTGAGCAGGGGACTGAAGGGGATAAGGGTGGGGTACACCTACCTGGCCCCTGCCTGGAGCAGGTGGCCAGCGAGGGGATGCCTGGGTTCCAGCATTTGTCCATTGGCTCCCAGGGCTTGCATCTTGTTGCCTTTCTCTGCTACCTTGGTCTCCCTGTTCTGGATGAGAACAGCAGATGCAGCGCTGGCACTAGGACCAGAGCTGGGCAGATGGGTTGGTGCCTGCAGGTCTCGTGGGATGGATGCCAACAGGCTGCCCACTTCTGTCTTTGTGGGAGCCCCCATTCTGCTCAGCCCTCGGCTCTGACCCTGGCCCTCACTTCTTGTGCTCTTTGCTCACAGAAGTTGTTAGAAGCCCATGAGGAACAGAATGTGGACGGCTACACAGAATCAGTGAGTGGCCATGGCAGGCGGATGGGTCCCTGGGGCAGGCTGCCTTCCTCTCGCGCATCCTTCCTCCAGTTTTGTCTTTGTTGTTAACTTCTGGGCTTCGGGCCCCAGCTGAGGACCGGGAGTCCTCAGCTGCCCACCACAGGATCCCCACAAGCAGACCAGGAGGGAATAGAGTGCTCATCGAGATGCCAGGTTGTGCTGAGGGTCGGGGGGGGAAGGGCACCCTGGCTTCAGCCTCTCGGGGTTCACAGCCCCTCTACTCTGTACCCCCAAAGTCCCCTAGGGAGAGCAGTGGGCTGACTCCAGTTGAGCACTGTGGGTGCCCCAGGAGGAGCAGCAGGGAGCGGATAGGAAGAAAGCCAGGGACTCCCCCTCTCCCGGGGGCTCCATACCCTGCCAGTATAGACCTCTCTCCCATTCCTGGCTGTGTTCTGAACATTCTGAAACTCAGCTGTGCCCAGCCCAGGTTGCCGTGCAGTTCTCCAGAACTTCTCCCTGCCCTCCAGGAATTAAGGCCCCAAGTGCAGCCCCTGCGGCATGTTTGCAGGAGGCTGCACAGGCAGGGCCTGGCCTCTGCCTCCCTCGGCGTGAGGGACAGGCTTGGTTCATGTCTCCAGGCCTCCGACTAGCCTTAAACAAGGAAACTGTACCTTTTTTTTTCTTTTCTAAACTACATTTCCCCCCAGAGGAAATGTTAGGCCCATGGTAGTAAGGACACAAAAAACAGATTCCACGCTGGTGTCTCCATGTTCCTGCTCAGAGACCTAGGGAGACTGGGACCAAGAACCTCAGGCTGCTGGGGATGGACCCATGGGGCCGAGGCTGGGTGCGATGTCCCCCATGGTGCTGACAGGTGAAGGAGTACGACTCCATCTCTCGGCTGGACCAGTGGCTGACCACCATGCTGCTGCGCATCAAGAAGACCATCCAGGGCGAGGAGGAGGACCTGCGTTAGGCCACCGCCCACATTCCCTGTTGTCTGGTGTGTGTAGCCGAGGTGCGCCTAGCCTGCTCAAGACATCCCTCCTTCCCCACTCGGGGAATCCCATGGGCTGCCAGGGCAGTGGTCACGTGGCTCGGCAGCACCTCAGGGTGCCAGAGGCTGGGCCGCTGGCCAGTCGCCTCTGCTCCCGCTACAACCCTCGCCTCTGCCTATTTAAGCCCCTAACGGTGTCCTTATCCCTTAAATCAGCTGTATAAGTCTGATACAGACCTCTATAAGCACTGCTAGGAGTCAAGGGTCAGCCTCTGTCCCAAGCCCTGACCACCCAAGTCTCCTGTGGCTGATTTCTGCCCCCACTTTGGCCCCTGGCAGAGCTCTAAGCACAAGTAGCCACTGAGACCTGCTCTCACCACCTGCAGCCCAGGCTCAGGTTAGACCACAGCCCAGTGCCCAGAGTGTCCCCAGACCCCCTGCGCTGTTCCTGCCTGTGCTTGAGGTTTGGTCTGGGGGTCAGAAGCTCCCAAGAAGGAAAATAAAAATTGCCACTTTCACATGAGTCTCTTCCTCTTTGCCTCTGCTGCTGCAGCCATGTGTTGTAGCGCGCATCCTCAGGATAGGCTTGGCCTAGAGATGCCTGGGTGGGCCTGGAGCAGAGATGCAAGGCCCAGGTAGGTGCCAGAACCCTGGGGCCTGGGGCAAAAACTGGCTGCCTCAGCCACACATCACCGTTGAGTTGCCCGGGAGGTGGGCATCCTGGTCCTCGAGCTTGCTGGGCTGGAACCTTCCCTGAGGTCCACACTGGAGGAGCCAGAGTTTCACAGCTGATATCTGGAGCAGTACTGAGAGGGGCTCGGTGGGCAGCTGGGTAGGTTCCTAAGAGTGCTGTTTCCGGCCCAGGATCCTGAGAAGTTCCATCCACAGGAGGGTGCAACCGGAACCCTACCCTGCCGTCCCTCCAGCGCCCCCCATCACCTGATAATGGCTGCTCCCAGCTCAGGGAAGCCTCCTGAGACCTGGCGTTGGTCACTAGCCAGTTGATCACTTGGAGCTGGCAAGCGACAAGTGTGCCCTCTCCCTGCAGGGAGGGGCAGTGACATTATTCAAGGTGGCACGGGAAGTTGGCCCACATCTGCAAATTATCCATGAATGTGCACAGGGGCCCCAGACCCTTCCTGCCATGCCAGGGACCAGAAAACACACGCAGAACCCCCTCACAGGTCCCGGAGGAAGGGCCTTACAGCCCGTCACCCCCACTCACTATTGTACCTGCAAGGGCTTGGCTGGAGTCCCCACTTTACCCTGTCAAGTGGGATGATGTGTCTCTGTAGAGCTCTTACAAGGCTTCTGTGAGAAAACTTTGTGACTGATAATTGTGGCATCAAGTAAAAGTTCAATAAATGAACAAAGGGGAGTAACAGCAGGCCCGTGCAGAGTGATTGTTTAGGAATCAAGAATTGGCAGTGTGGGCTGGTGAGATGGCTCAGTGGTCTAAAGCACCTACTTGGAACAAGCTTAGCAAAGCACAGGGACCG